CCCCCCTAGCACCACCCCAATTTAGGCAACTATGGCAGTCCCATGGAGTGTTTGGTGTTGTTTTTTTGTTGTTCGATTCATTGATCCGATCCTTTTCAACGGCAGGTTCACATCTCCGTGAGCGACTATATGACTCTATATAAGCCAAGGAAGGGAAGCAAATGCTTGACGACACGTGCACACACACACACACACACCAAACAACCTAGCCACAAAAATAAACGATGAGTTTGATGTAGTGTTCAGATACCCCACAAAGAGACGGAGAGGGATTGAACACAATATTGTTTCTCGTTGAATCGGTGTTTATTTGGAAGAACTGGATGGATATGAAGAAAACAGTGTGAGAAACGAATTCCAAACGCAAGTCGACACCGTGAAAGGCATCAATCTTGTACACTATATACTGAATATCTAGAACAAATAGAAAAAGACACGGGTACTTCCACAACCCACCTGGCGCAGGGTTCTTGGCTGGATCAAGTCTTTCCTGGATCAAGTCTTTCCAAATACACATGGCTTCGGCATGGGTGCAGATCTTTCCTGCACCACTCCTGCGTGGCGGGGCTTTCCACGACCAGCACTGCTACGCTGTTGGCCAAGCTGACTGAGTCGAAAAGAGGGAGGAATGGGTCAAAGAGCCCCAAAACCCAAGTCCAAAACTGCAGACGTTTACGAATTCATTGGGGAACCTTTGGGGCCTTTGACCCACACTCGTCTTATAAATGACGCGGCTCTGCTCTACCGCGCCCGCAGGCTTTTGGTCCTTTTAGCTGGGAGAAGTGGATTTTCCATTATGTCTTTTCCTCACCGCTATGATGATGCAAAAGCTTGGGTTGGTGGCTAAGCGCACGGCATTTGGAGGCCCAAACGAAGCATGTTGGTCCAGTTTCCTTCTATTCGAGCCGGGCTTGTTGAGTGGTCGATCGAAGCCCATGCGACGCGACCACCGACCACCCACAGTTCCTGCAGTGTTCGGGGCCCGTCCTTCGAACTCTGGGAGGGGAGCACCATGGAACACCCAATCAACAAAGAATCACTAGAAATGATGGCACCGAGAACATGCGTCTGACTGAAGGGGACCAAAGGCCACATCCAAGGTGAGAAAAGAAGGCACTGGGGGAGAGAAACAATCGGTTCCTCCCCCCGCACACACCATGCAAGGGCCAGTGAGAGCACAACCATGTTGCTCTACCTATAACGTATTTCATTATCTTACTTTCTAGAGTTGATTCACAAAACTGTATCCATCATTACATGCAAAAAAAAGCATCTTCTTTCTTACATGTATGATTCTTGGTCAATCCTAGATCTTACACACGGCTGCTCTCACTAAATACTTCACCTCCGCACGCAAGATCTGATAGGCCTCTGCTGCCTTGGCTGCAAAAAAAATCGGGGCCAATTGTTGGGCGAAACAAACAGGTATTGCGCAAACACAAAAAACCCTACACTTTGCTTGCCACAAACACAAACACATCAAGCAAATCATGTTTAACATGCTAGTTTAAGTTGTGTCGACTATTGCTAGGGGTGTGGCCACCGTCCTCAAATCCCGACAGGTAACCGCGTTCACTGTTTCAAAGGAGTTTTCATGCGTCACAGTTTGGTCGGTAGATGTCTGGCAAATGATCGTGAAAACTCCTGTGGCACAGTCACCACTGCCCGCACCACACGAGAACGGCGACGACAAACTGGCCGCGATGCCTCGATGACCAGATGGCCCCTCACCTCCTTCCCACAAACCAAGGCAATAAGGTTTCCCAAGCTCATGCGTTGCAAGACGTGAGCAATGGTCCTTGGGGTTCGCTGTACATCCGGATGCCCCTCGCCATCCTTGAGCGAAGAGCGGATGGCAAGCTCACGCTTCAGCAATGCCAGCAGTTCACGCGCACCGTGAAACTCACTCTCGTCCACACGCTGCTGGATATAAGGGAGGATCATCCTTACATGGAAAAACAAATGCAGATTAATTTGGGGCTGCCTTTTGCAAATGTCTTCTTCAAACGGTGACGAGCCGTCGAGAAGCAGATCGGAGAGACCATGAGAAACCTGTCCAATTCATTCACAGAGGAAAAAACGCGTCCATGACCCACCTCCAATGGGTTATTGGAGTGATGGCGTTACTGGGCCCTCCAAGCACGTACCATCTCGGCTGGCGAATGACTCCCTGGAATGGTTCATGCCATTGATGAAGATGGTCAATCTGGGATTGTTTTGTGGTTTCACATTGCCATCACCAACTAAGCCTGGAAACGAAGACTACATGGACCTTGGCCGATAGATAAACATCGATAGCAAATGGAGGACTAACCAATTAAATAGCAACAAGCAACAAACAAACAAACAAACAAATATTCGGCTGCATCAGTTACACTTGACTTGAGACATGACGAATCAGATTCGGACTGAATTCTTTTTCGCACAAGCTTGAGAGTCTTTGTTCAAAAGTGCTTTGGTTAATGTGACCCAGTCACAGCAGCCCACGCTGCGTGCACCCCTGGTGCATACCTCTGCCAGGTATTCGTTCCCTACCTGTACCTGGTAGACTCCTGAAAAATAGTCAAGAGGATACTGAATGTCAGTCCTATGGCTATGTTGGAGTGGAACGACAAAAAGATGTGCAGTACCCAAAGTTGTCCAACTCTTGTACTGCAAAATGGATCAAACGCAGTGACCTACAATTGCCCCGCAATGTCACTGACGAAGGGTATCTGGACTCATGACTAGAGTATTTAGCCAAGCCGACAGCTGCAAATGCTTTGGCCTCGTGCAGACAGCAGCCATCATGGACAGTCAAAATTGTAACTGCAAAAAGGGAATGGACGCCGTGGTATCCTGCAGACAGCACCAGTCCATTTGCTCATTGCCAGAGCATTTAGTCATCTGGCTTCCGACAGACCGTGGCCAGGAGGATCAGACATCACAGTGTACTGGAAATTTGGTAGACCTGAACTGTGGTACTCGGCCGGCAGCTACCACTCGAGGTCGCTGATGACGAAATGAATGTTTGCTCAAAAGTCATTGGACTGGAATCATGCTGATCGGTATCGGAATAAACGCGACATCAGCAAAAATGCGGTAACCCGTGGACACCTGCAGACGGCTGCCACAAGAAAGGCCTCACCGTGGGAGACACCACACAGGCCAAAAGACACCACTCAGATGCATCGCAAACGTGGACACTCGGGCCGACAGCTGCCACATGTTCCTGTAACCACTCATACCGAGCACAGGGTGTGGTGGGTGGGACAAAATATTCGAAGAATCAGCGGCGCTGATTCTTATGGAGCGACAATCCTTTTTGGCTTGAGCCCTAAGCTGAAAAGGAGTGAGTGAACTGAATGACATCAAATAATTCCTCATCACCGACCCTGCCTACCTTGAATGAATGAATATATTCGGCTGCATCAGTTACACTTGACTTGAGACATGACAAATCAGATTCGGACTGAATTCTTTTTCGCACAAGCTTGAGAGTCTTTGTTCAAAAGTGCTTTGGTTAATGTGACCCAGTCACAGCAGCCCACGCTGCGTGCACCCCTGGTGCATACCTCTGCCAGGTATTCGTTCCCAATGCATTCAACCATACCCAAAGCACTCAGAAGAACTGGAAGACACGACTTATAAGGGTATAAGGTAGGCGGAGTAGGAGGAGAGGTACTGGAACGCGATGTACACGGAATCCATGAGCCTGATACCATTCGTCGTAAATTCCTTTCCTGCTAATACCATCGGACCAATCATCATCGGATTGGACCCATTCGAAGTAGCAGCCACTGCGCAGTGAATACAACAAAGCATGAATACATCCCGCCATAGCATCCAGCTCGGGGTTATCGCTCCTGCCCTTGACCAAGGCCATTAGCGCCGCAATGTTGTCCACAAACCACAGCCCCTGACAGGAGCGGGCCTGACTGGCCACAAAAATGAATCCCGCATAGACCGTGAGCAACTCCAACTGGGCGATCTTGGTGGGATGATCAGACCAGAGGGTGAAGAGCTCCGCCGTGATGTCAACTACATAGGCATCTCGTTCACCGCGGGGTCCAACGAACAACAGGCCCACCGAACCTTGCCGAGGTTCATCTTGGGCCGCGTCAGATGCCGCCAGATAACGTTGTTGGCTGCCGGGTTGAAGTGGTAACTCTCGCTCAGGTTTCAAGGCAAGGAGGGATTTGATGGTCACAAACGAACGGGATAGGTCCTCAGTCAGAGCCATGTCATGGGAATACTGGCGTTCCTTCAATGGACTCAACCCTGATCTCCCAAGCTTACCAAAACATCCAGTGTTGAGGAAGCGCAGGCAACCGAACAGCTTGGCAGCGAGTCCTGGCGGGAGACGTTGTGTTTGAGTCGCTTCGTCCATGAGGTCCGTGACCTTAGTGATCAAACGGTCGCGCGGCCAAAAGCGGACAGGGTGACCATGGTGACATTGACCAACATCATGCACCAGACCCAGAAAGTCAGACTGACTCTGCATAGTCTGATGTTTCTCCGCCTTGAACGGTGATCCCATTTCTGTGGCCAGGCAAGTGATAAACTGTTGGGCTGATCCTTTCATACCCCCC